TGACTCCGTTCGGTCGAAGGAGGCAGTGACCTTGATACTCAAATATAGTTCTCTGAACCAGTAATCCTTTTGCAACATGAATGAGAGATGTGGCGATCTGGTTTCCAGAACATGTCTTGCTGGTGCTGAAAGTGCCACCAGCCACTCTGCAAGGAATTCAATGACCCTATTTTCGAGCTTGGTGAGGGCGTTATGGACCGCTTGGAACGCTGACTCCATATTTGGTGTTTGCGAAGCAGGGGGTGTGCCTTCTGCATGTCGGATGTAATCGTCAGCAAAAAAAGGCGGCACATTCTGGAGACCCACTGGCTGGCGCTATCCATGTTAATTGTGATCTTGGCTAAGGGCCACGGGTCCGGTAGCGTGGATAGGCAGTGGAGCAACTCCGATGTCAGCTCTGGCGCCACCACTGGGAGTTCACTTTCCTTTGGCCTATATGGAGTCGTTTCATTTGCCGCGCTTCCTTTGCTTGCGTTGCGTATGTTCCTTGGCGGCATCATATATGGCCTGTAGCTGGGGGCCATGTTGGCCAACCATCGCTCTAAGGTATTTGCATGCGCGGATAGCAGCCCTGCGAGTGCCGGGTCCATCTTCTGGTTGGTTCTTGGCCGCAATGGCAAGTATGTCTCGCGCCTCCTCCTCAGGGGATCTAGTTGGCTCTGTTCCCCGCGGGGTATGCACTGTTGTTTCGCCGCCGTATGTTGGTGCCTCTTTGGTGCTCGGCAGGTTGACCGGGATGTCCAATGTTGGCTGCGCACGCCACCCATCAAAGAAGTAAATGCCTGGCAGAGGTGTGATTTCTTGGGAAGGGCCGGTTTGTGGTAGGACCCTTCCGGTGCGTGCATGATACAATCCTGATGGTAGGCATACATATGTAGGTCTGGGGGTTCGGTCAGCCGCGTAGGCAAACAAAATCAATTCATTGAATGGAAGATTCTGCGCAGGGATCCAGTTGTGTCCTTTTGCTGCGACTTGGTGCAAGTGACGCAAGTACTGCTGGTCTTTTTGTAGCCAGGCAAAGTCAGACGCTCTCACTAAGATGAGCCGGTATCTCACGTTCAGCGGGCGGCTGTTTCGTTGGTCATGGTATTGGTTGGCAATGGCTAGAGGGGGGTAGGCCCATGACGGGGCCTCATTGAGGGACCATCTTTCAATTTGTCTGTTGTTTTCTCGTGCTGGATTCGGATTGAAGGAGGGCCAGTCCCACGTGGTAAACCCCCGGCGAAGACCTTGCACCCCATAGGCCAGTGCAGCAAGTACCTGTGCCATGCCAATGAGGCCCATCATGTCCAATGGGGAGACCACCAGGGTGAGCGATTTGGATCGTGTGAGCCCCACTGTGATACGTCCTAGGCAGTCTTCAGTATCCTCTGTGGGGGAGCCATCTGGCTAATATCTTACATTTAGGAAACCTGTGCTCGGCTGAGCTACCATTGCAACTGCTGCTGTGCCACCCGCCGAATTTGCAATGGTCTCTACTCGCAAAGTACGGGCGTAGTCCTTCTTCAGCGTGGAGCGGTTGAGATTGTTTTTATGGTCCGTGGCAGTAGTCATCACGAAAAGGCCGTCCGCAAAGCCTGTGCTGTAGGGGAATTCGGAGAGCACTTGTGATACGAGCGTCTCCAGATCCGCCGCAACTAGACCATTAATTTTAGAATTAGTGTCCCATAGGATGAACTGGTATCCGGGGGGTTTGCTGCTGATTCCTCCAGAGGCAAAACTACCCAACTCCCAGCGGCTATGCATGAATTTACAGAGATCTGGGTACCTAACCGCAACAACGGAGTGATACGTCACCGGGCTAACTCGTGAACTGGAGGGTAGCATGAGCCCCCGCGCATGGATGTCGCTAACTCCGGCTGTGTGGGAGTTAAGCTCAGCTTGAATTTCTCCGGCAATGGGTAGGAGGGTCTCTACATGCCTTCACGGTTCACCGTGGGGTCTGTTTGATGTCGCTTGGCCTCTGGGGGGCTTGGGTGGGGATCGCGCCCCTTGGTCTCTAGATTCCTGCTTGCTCCCTCTGCTGTGCTCGCTGCCTCCTGCTGGCGTGTCCTCTCCTCCGCGTTGCTTTCTTCAGGTTGCGAGTTTAGAGGCGTAGCAGGTTGAGCCGTCAGGTTCAGAGATTAAAAAAAAAATGGAGAGGATGGAATGCACACTTGCTGTTGGGAACAGTTTCAGCTTGGCACTTCACTGTCTAATCTGTTAACACATTGTTCGTTTTCTGTTTGTGCTTATTTCGTTTCAGTTTAAAAAAACACTGAGGGAAGATTCAGCTAGATGTCATTTGAAAGATTCAGTTTTCAACTCAACGTGTTACATGTTGCCTGAAGGTTCAAGGGTTAGGGAAAAATTTTTGAACAGTCTGGGACGCGCTGCAATCTCCGACGTATGCATGAATTGGAGTGATCTTCCGATCAAGCAGAGTTTCAGGCAGAGGCTGGAAGGAATATATGGGGATCTTAAGTACCTGTGGTATTCTTTTGATGACGCGGCTGGAGCCCAAGAACTGCTGCAATCAGTGCTGACAGAAACGGAATGGGCTGATTTTGGACAGTTGAGTGTTGAGAGACTGGTTGCATGGCACGCAGAGTATGGGCCACAGGTTAAAAGACAGCGTATCCTTGACTGCAAACTCAGTTTCGAGTTCTGCTCGCATCCCAAACGGGACACAGCGGGCACTGTGCAAGAAACCTTTGAGCAGATCATGAAGGAAGACCCCCGTTTTATGTTGGATTCAGTTAAACACACCCAACGTAGGACTGCTTCTGGGGAAGGGCCGGAGACGAGAGCGGCCAGAGAGCAGCAAGAAAGGGACAAATATGCGCTGGAACTGGCAGGCATCTTACAGGAAGCCGTTTTGCCGGTGAGTCTCCAGATAGCGGCACTACAGGACCCAAACAAGGCCTGGCTACGACTGTTTGGTGCTAGACGGTCAAAGACCTTGAGGAACAGATACAGGTCATGGAATCGTTTTCGCACTTGGCTTGTGGCATATTCAGGTAAGACTTGGCCAGGTGGTTTGGATGTCCTGATACACTACGTCGAGGAACACATTCAGAATGGGGTGACATTCAGCTTCATTTCAGAGTTTCAGGCTGCCCTGGTGGTTTTAGAACAGGCTGGACGGATTTCCGATAGCAAACAGCTGTCCAGGGACCCGCTGTGGAAGGCACACATTGAGAGTTGGAAACAAGAACTGGCAACAAACTCTTTCCCGAAGGCTGCAAAGCCTTACACAACAGCCATTCTGTTAGCACTTGAGTTGTTTGTCATGGAGATGGACCATGAATTCTGTCTGAGGTTAATCGCATGGTGCATGCTGGTTTCAACCTGGGCTGCTATGAGGGTAGACGATTTGCAAAATGTCATGCCCGAAACTGTCAGGCTTAGCAATCGTGGTTTGACGCTCAGGATGTCGAGGACAAAGACGACGGGAGGTGCCAAACTGCATGGGCCTATTTGTGCGTTTGTGGCCAGAGACATTACAATTTCTGGATATGACTGGCTCATCGAGGGTTTTCAGATGTTGCAACGGGAAGACCTCATGTTTCCCCGGGATCATTTCATTCCAACACCCGGTAGGAACTGGACCACGTTTAAGAACAAGATCATGGAACCACCGGCGATGGCAAATTATTTCAGGATTGTTCTGGGGAGACTGGGAACGCCGCGCTACCAAGACGGGTATTGGCGTCAGAACCAGGCGATGGATTTGGTGCCAGGGGCCATGTTACTTTTCTGGACAGGCCACAGCCCACGTCATTATCTGACGCAAGCAGCGGCCTCACTAGGAGTGGACAAAACAAAGCGTGACTTTCTTGGCAGGTGGTCGATAGGACGGACTGGAAGCAATGCATACTTGCATACATCACGCCAAGTGGTGGAAGAGGTGCAGCACTTGGTCAGGGATGCGATTGTGTTGGGCGCCCCAGTGTTAGACGAATCAGAACTGTTAGAAGATGTCATGCACGACAAGCATGAATTGGTAGGACAGAGAGTCAGGAGACGCCACACACATGACTACAGGAGGCCCAATGCTGGTGAGGTTTTCAATACTTTTGATTCAGATGGTGAGCAAGTCGATGCACAGGAGAAACAACAGGTCATGGAAGCAGTGCAGCGAGAGGCAGGTGAGAGCCAGGCCTCGGTGGGCTATTTCATCACGACCTCGAGGAGGACAGGGTTCAGGAGATTACACATGCACGGGAAATGCCCAGTGCGTTCAGACAGATGCATTGATTCCACTGATGTTGACAATGTTCGGGACGCAGCCTATGATGCTATTTGCAAGATTTGTCAACGCAGAATCTCAGAAGAGTTGGGACGCATGACAGCCGACCATGATGCCTCAAGTGACTCAGGTGATTCTTCCTCGACGAACACGTCCGGAGGCGAGGCCGAGGCTGAAGAGGCATCGGAGTGGCAGCCTTTGGTTTAGAGTTTCATTCACCTTTTATTTTCACCCAGTATGCAAATTGCAGAATGTGCTGTCTCAGACAGAAGGCTTAGGATGCTGAGGCATTACAGTTTTAGTTTCATGTCTGCCGCAGTCACGGACTAGTGGCAATAGAGCATGGGCGCTAAAGGCGCAGTGGCCATGGGCAAACCGATCAACCGATCGTACACGCTTCAGTGAAAATGCATTTATTTGGGTTATTTGTTTGGTTTGTCCTGCGTCCTCGGCATTCTCCCCTTCTCCTCTTCACGGATTTGATTTCAAGAGTGCAAAGATTTGATTTCAAGAACACAAAGACGCAGAGAAAGAACAGTTTGGAGAAGCGCAGGGGAAATCAGTGTGTTTATTTGTTGTTGAGGCTCAGAGTCAGGAAAGAAAGAATTTTCAGTTTGCAACAAGTGGCATGATTTGATAATTTTTGACTTATTTTAGGTGGTTTGGTTTGTCCCGCGTCCTCGGCATTCTCCCTTCTCCTCTTCACACATTGGAGTTTGAAAGGCGGGTAACAACCCGAGACTTTTCAGCTTTAGCTTCAGTCTCAGCAATGGCAATAACGGACGATGACCGCAGAGAATATCTGCGAAATAACGTCACCTCAGACCTTCAGTATGTGTGGGATGATGCCGAGATCCCACTAACGTTGCAATATGATATGGCCCAGCACTACAAGTCGCTCAGGGTCTTCACAGCTTTGGGGGAAAACTCTGCAGATGTGCGGACGGCAGTCCAAGCAGACTTCAACTTGGACCCAGCCAGAGACCCAGCCGTGCGGGCACAGGTCGCACAAGTGGTCGCAGCTTGGAACGCAGGAAAAGAGCTCTACACAAAGGAGAAAGAGATCCAAGCCGAGAGCAAAGTTCTTGGCGTACCCCGTCACCTCCAACACAGCGAGAGGTTGGCAATGCTCAAAGCAGTCGAAAAGGTTTTAGGCCATCTCACCGACCACGAGACGCCCAGTGCGGAGTACCTTGCCTTGAAGGTTGAAGAGTGCGAGAACGGAGAGTGTACGGCAGCAAGCTTGGATGAAGTGTCGTCGAAGGCCGACCGCAACACATCAGCGCTGCAGACTTCGCTGGATAGCACGGGCCATGTTCGGATTACCAAGACAAAATCCAAAGGCCGGCTTCCAGAGACTACAGAAGAGTACCGGAAGTTGATGAAGCTGGAGGCCACTACTTGGCTTTGTATGTCATCCAAATTCAAATCGAAACACTTCTTGGCAGGTTTGAAGATGGAGGACTTCAATCGCTTTGTGGAGTTCGTACTTGGAGAAAAGGTACATGGTATCAAAGTGCCTGTCGATGGACAGCAGCAGCCGTTGCGTCCACCCTTTGCTCTGGTGCTGCAATTTGAGCACCGCCTGCGACGAGAAGCATTCAAGCTGGTCAACAAAGGGGAGAAGACACTGGCAGAGGCCTTGGAGGCCGTAACAAAGGATGCTGAACTCAAGGAGTCATACTTTACCACCCCTTTGGCTCTGACCAACCACGACCCAGCTCGGCATGGCGGTCAACGCTCCTACAACAACCCCTACGACAACAAGAAGGGCAAGTCAAAGGGGTTTGGCAAAGTGCGAGGAAAATTTGACAAAGGAAAAGGAAAAGCATCAGGTAAATCGAAAGGAAAACACGGGGACCACCACCTTGTCACCCACTCTCCGGACGGACGTGAAATATGCTTTGCCTTTAACAGCCAAGGCTGTCCAGGGCGGTGCGGCAGACTACACATCTGTCGTATCAAAGGCTGTTATGGTGAACACGCCGCCCGGGAACACGATCGTTGCAAAGATCTTCCAAAGGGCAGCAGCAAAGCAGAGTGACAGCCTGCAGCAGCACCCACCAGCAAACCCACATTGCGGGTGCTGTACTTGTTTTGTGGGAAGCCTCGCAAGGCAGACGTCAAGCACTACCTCCAGGAGTTTGGCTTGGAGCACGGATTTTCTTTGCATGTGACTGAGGTCGATGTGGAACGACAGGCCTCAGATGATCTGTTAAACAGTCAACTTTGGGACAAAATTTTTCAAGAATTAGAAGCTGGATTATGGGACGTGGTGGTCATGTCACCACCCTGCAATACCTTTAGCAGGGTCCGTTTCAACTGGAAAACCTCGCCCGGCCCACGGCCACTACGCAATTTTCACTGGCCTCGAGGGTTTCCTTGGCTTACAGGTTCAAATTTGCAGCTGGCACAAGATCACAACTATTTGGTGGACCAGACCATCGCCACGGCACACAAGTGTTTCCAATGCAATGCAGACTTTCTGATCGAGCATCCCGAAGATTTAGGGGCATGCCATGGTGAATGGCCCGCTAGTATTTGGCAGTGGGAAACTATGCAACAGCTGCAGCAAGCCACGAAAGCCACGACTTGGGCAGTTTTCCAGTGCCATTTTGACGCGCCATCGCCCAAACCAACCAGGTTTCTTTCTACACTCAAACCTTGCCAGCAGCTTCCACATGCCACCTGGCCAGTTTTCGACGAGGGCCGACAGTACTTGGGCCCCCTGCCTACGTCTTGTGGACACTCCACGCATGCCAAGCGCCTTTTGGGCCAACTGCCAAGTGGGAAATGGGCCACCGAGGGTTCTGCAGCTTACCCCCCGGCGCTTTGCAAGTACCTGGCCGAGCTCATCGCCAGCCGGGTGGGGAGCACACAGGCCTCTTCACTCGGCTCTGACGCTGGGACGAAGCCTACAACCACTATAGCTGCAGATAGCTCTCCTACTAGGGCTCCTGCAGAGACTGGACAAACACCTGCAACCACTACAGCGGCAGACAGTCCAGACCTTGGGACGGTCGATTCAGACACAAATGAGCTACCAACTCAAGGCGGGCCGGAAGAGGCTCGTAACAGGGGAAAGCCGTTGGTGGTTGAATGGGGTGGACGGGCCAAGCCTTTTGTTGACGGGTTTGGTCTTTGCTCAGCAAACCGTTGGCGCCCAGAATAGAGGTGCTTACCTTGGAATGGAGGCGCGGCACTTGGGATTAAAGTTAAAAGAGCTCCTGCAGGAGTTTGTGGTGTCCCAGATCGGTGACTTGAGGCAAGAAGCTTTCCACCTGGCTTTGGGGAGGCTGCAGAGTTCACCGTTTTCAGAAAAGGCTTTGCAGAAACTTAGAGAAGACTGGGCCCAGTTGTTGCCATCTCCGGCCAGTGCCAGGGAGCTCCCGGAAGGCCAACCTTTCTTCCTTCACCTTTTGGCACAAACGCTTGAAGTCATGGAGGACCCTGACTATCGGGTGCTGGTGCAGGACAAAGAGTCGTTTGCCACGGGGGTTCCGGTTGGGCTGGATGAGCCGCTGCCCAGAGTTCCAGCGGTATTCCCACCGAAGGAGAAACATCGCAAGCTGGACGATTCAGACTACACCCCCTTTTCAGAAAACTACAAGTCAGCGGAGCTGGTGGCAGAGGAGATGGAGAACAAATTTAAAGAAGAAGAAAAGCTGGGTAGAATGTACCCAACCACGCTGGCGGCCTTGAAAGCAAAACATCCTGACCGGGAAGTGCTAGTGGCGTCCATGGGGGCCATACAGAAACCCAACGGTGACATCCGTCCCATCCACGATGCTACCCACCATGTTCAGCTTAACAACAGGATAGTTTTCAGGGACCAATTACAATACCCTGGGCCGGAAGATGCGGCTGGCGTCATACGGGAGGTGACCGAGACAAAGGAGGCCATGTTTTCTATTTCAGCCGATATCAAGTCGGCACACCGACTGGTGAAACTGCGGAGTAGGGATCACCCTCTCATTTGCTGCAAAGCTTCTTCAACGTCCGATACGGGTTAACAAGGTTGGGACCTTTGGCGTTTCCAGCGCTTCCTACTGGTGGACGCGGCTCATGGGAACCATTGGAAGGCTGGTGGGCAATGCAATGGGGACTGAACACAACTACCAGCTCATATACGTGGATGATTTGCATGTAGTGGTTTTTGGAGAACGCAAGTTCTTGACGCTGTGGATGATGCTTGCAGCCTACGAGGCCTTGGGTACCCGGTTCCAGTATGCGAAGTTCGCTGGTGGGATAGAAGTAACGTTTGTTGGTTTTCAGTTGGACTATGGACGTTGCAAGATGGGTGTGACGGCCAAGCGAGGCCTTTGGTTGCTGAACTTCATAAAGGAGATGGAGGCAGCACGTTATACGGTGCACATGCGCCGGTTTGGGGAGTTCCTTGGAAGATTGGCCTTCCTGGCCCGAGTCCTCGTTTGGCTGAAAGCACACCTGGCGCCATTGTATAGCTGGGCAGCAGCCCTGGCAAAAGGAACAGTGGCCACGGCACCACGTATGGTGGTTTTGGTGCTCAAGTTCATTTCCATACAGCTGGCGGACTGCAGTTTCATGTACTCATGCCACAGGCCCGTCCATGTGCTGGAGGAACAGTTTAGAACGGATGCGAAGTGTGCTCAAGGGGTTGTCGTTTTGGGTGGACACCACATGGCCACGGGTCGTTGGTTTTCTTTGCGTTTGGAGCCCGAGCAGGCCCCTTACCTGTTCAAGCCTGATGGTGAAAGCAGTTGGGCATCCGCGCCGGCGGAGCTGTTGGCCACCACCGTGGCACTGGTTCTTTTTTGGCTATGGAAAAGGGAGAGAAAGAGTGACCGTTCCAATTTACCTGGCGGCAGGCACGGACAATCAGTCGAATGAGGCCCTTCTCCAGAAGGGCAGTTCTACTAAGTTCCCACTGGCTTTGGTCAACATGCAAATGACGCATCAGCTTATGCGTTGGGGGTTGAGGCTGGAGCTACGTTGGCGGCCCCGGGCTGAAAACGACTTGGCCGACAAACTTACCAATGAGGACTTCAGCCAAGTGGACGCGAACCTGCGTGTAGAGTGCAAGTGGGAAGATTTTGATTTCAGCCTTCTACAGCAGTTGTGGGAGGCGAGGCATGAGTTCCTGGACAAAGACACGCTAAGAAAGTTTGCAAAACATGTTGGGAATGCGAAGTTTGAGAAAACTCAGTGGTGAGGGTCAGATTCAGTGTCAGGCCCCTCGCTTCGGGGGGGGGCACAAAATTTTACTCAGAGCCTGACACAAGGCCAAAATCCATTTGCAGGTGAATATCACCACCAACCTGAAGGATCAGTTCAGGGATTCAGTTCCAAATCCACGCGACAAAAAAGAAGGGAGTGGTTGATCGCTCCGATGCATTTCAATTTTACTTGGTCAGATGCAGTTCACGTTTCTTGCGGTTTCAAGTGGTTGCAGTTTTAGTTTTGGTTTTGGTTTGATTAGGGTTTGTTTGTTTTAGTTTAGTCGCGTAGGTCGCGAGCGCGTTTTCCGTTTCTCGGAAGGTTCTTGACTTGGCCCAAGTGAGGGAGAACAGGCCTTCACGGTTCACCGTGGGGTCTGTTTGATGTCGCTTGGCCTCTGGGAGGCTTGGGTGGGGATCGCGCCCCTTGGTCTCTAGATTCCTGCTTGCTCCCTCTGCTGTGCTCGCTGCCTCCTGCTGGCGTGTCCTCTCCTCCGCGTTGCTTTCTTCAGGTTGCGAGTTTAGAGGCGTAGCAGGTTGAGCCGTCAGGTTCAGCGATTAAAAAAAAAAATTGGAGAGGATGGAATGCACACTTGCTGTTGGGAACAGTTTCAGCTTGGCACTTCACTGTCTAATCTGTTAACACATTGTTCGTTTTCTGTTTGTGCTTATTTCGTTTCAGTTTAAAAAAAAAACACTGAGGGAAGATTCAGCCAGATGTCATTTGAAAGATTCAGTTTTCAACTCAACGTGTTACATGTTGCCTGAAGGTTCAAGGGTTAGGGAAAAATTTTTGAACACCCGCCCTCCCAATACCCTGTGAATCGAGGTGATTTTATGCATTCAGCCAATCGACGGGGCTTCATTGTTTATTCTGACCTTTGTCGAAGACAACGACACCGTCTTTCTGTATTCCATATCGTCACTGCCACTGCCCCTTTCTTTCATTGCGGGCACTGCAAGTTGTTTCTGGTGACTTCTTTTCCTTGATTATGACTCCACTATTTCAGATGCTACACCTCTATGCCACTCTGACTTTGTTGCATCAGAAGGCGTGGGCGCTTCGCCATTCCATGGATGAACGCGAAGACTACTTAGAAGCTGAAGGGTTTGCCTACCACTCGGCAATTGTGGCCCGGGTACGTGCACATTTGGATTCACTGATTACTTGGTGCGACCATTCTCTGGATTTCATTCACCGGGCTCTTCTTTACACCTCTAAAGATTTGGACTGAGAAGGGGGGCACAAAATTTTACTCAGAGCCTGACACAAGGCCAAAATCCATTTGCAGGTGAATATCACCACCAACCTGAAGGATCAGTTCAGGGATTCAGTTCCAAATCCACGCGACAAAAAAGAAGGGAGTGGTTGATCGCTCCGATGCATTTCAATTTTACTTGGTCAGATGGAGTTCACGTTTCTTGCGGTTTCAAGTGGTTGCAGTTTTAGTTTTGGTTTGATTAGGGTTTGTTTGTTTTAGTTTAGTCGCGTAGGTCGCGAGCGCGTTTTCCGTTTCTCGGAAGGTTCTTGACTTGGCCCAAGTGAGGGAGAACAGGTTGTAGCATCCAGGCAAGGCGAATGAGGGATCGTAAGAAATTAATGGTAGTGCCTTCGAGGAGCGTGGCATCCACTTTTGTTGGGAGTTGTGCCTGCTCGCTTGGGAGTGCTGCGCGAAAGTGTGAGTTAAGGCCTGGAAGGATTGGTTGTTTCGTGTGCCACGTGAAAAGGTAAGAGCGAGGTCAAGTTGGAATTTGAGTTTGTTTTGACTTACGTGTTCTTGCAAGTCGAAGCATGTTCAGGTCAAGGCTGTGGTCAGGAATGCCATGTGTTTCAGGTCAAGGATAGAACCTGAAGTAAGGTGTAGATCAGGTAGGACTGGAACGACAAGGACTGACAGGTTGTCAAGGACCGAATGTTGGCGGTGTGACACCACAGAATGAACGACAATTAGCATCCGCAGCCTCTGGCTCAGTGCTGTATCGGCTCAAACTGATAAAACCGCTTTACCAGAGGGTACTAGTTTTGGGTAGTGGGGGGGGCGCTGCTGCCTGCTTTGACTGTGAAGTCTTACTGAAACCCAGTTCGATCCCTCCCTGGTCATTGACTCTCTTGACTGGCCACACGCAGTTTCCTCTCCACACATGAGGCTTGGAGTGCTTGGGAGAAGAAAGACATGATGAAATGACCTTAGACGGCACGCTGCATGAAAAAGTTGCCCAAGTGCTGCAAGGCAAACGACTATTGCTCAGGGAAAAGTTGGCCAATAGCATTTGATGGCCCGATTCTGGACTCCATCGAGAACTGAAAAAAGGATTCAAGCTGACTGGACATCCTCCACTGAGCTGAGACCTGCTTCGTTCGACAAGGAGCAGCTGATGCAAGATGCAAAATTTTTGAGCTATTGCTGTTAGGTGGATGAGGACGAACATGCTGAGGAGCTGTTTCAAATTACTGTGAAGGAGGCGGCTGAGAAACACTGGCTTGAAGGATCCCTCAAGGAGGCGGCTGAGAAACACTGGCTTGAAGGATTGTGGCCGTTGGCTTGCCAATAGCCGTTTATGGGTTAGGTGAGTGAAACTAGGCCGTTTCCCCTGGCTGCCCAAAAACAAAGTTAGAAATGAGTTGCTTCTCCTTGCATGCTTGCTAGGTTTAGGTGAGGTAGGTATGTGCGTCTCCTCTTTGCTTCTGTCTCCTTTCCTCTGCGTGACGCATCGCGACCGCGTGTGAATTTCCGTTTATGGACTCTATGTTTGTTGTTTCCTTTTACGCAGTTCTGTGCAGAACCAAATCTGGGAAAACAACTCCGATGTCATCACATGTTTATTTATGTTTGGATGTCCATGCCACATCTGTCATGTTTACATGTTGAGCCTTGCATGTTGGAATTTTACAAATCAAGAACTAAGCGGTGGGTGGGTGGGCTCATCGCTCACTTTTTGCCATGCTGTTTTCATTTTGATGCGTCAACGTGGTTCCTTGCAGCATCGTGGCCACATTGGATACGCCACACCCCTGACTTTTGGAACAAGATCCAAATCATTGCAATTCTCAAGATTTCAGTTTTTCTTCTTCGGGTTTGTGACTGCCGTTGCATTTGTTTGGTGGATTTTGTCACCCTACATGGATGAGTGAGTCTTCCGAAACGACCCACGAAGCAATCTTACACAACGTTGTGTCACACCAACTTGCACTGAGACGGCAGGTAACTGAGATTCAGTCAGAATTGCAGACAGTCAGGTCTCAACTTGCACAGGTGCTGGAGCAATTGCAGGCGCTGCTGGGACCTCCTCGGCATGGCATCCTCCAAGAACCTGAAGCAGAACGGGGCCAACAAGAGGACAACAGATGTGAGCGATGAACATGTAGTTTTCCATACCAGGCATGTCTGGACAGCAATGCATTCTTCTGGCATGAAGCTTCCATGGGAACTCACTTTGCCTATGTTGAACAAAGATGCACTTGAACCTTTCCACAAACGGACAAAACTGCTTGGAAACATGGGACCGTGCTGCATGTCACCACAAGCTGACCCGGGTGACCTTTTTGACCAGAAGCGCAGTAGCTATGCAGATGCTGGGCTCAGATTGATGAGAAAGACGGATGAAAACTTTTGGCAACAACAGATCAGTTTTGACCGCAAAGCTGCATACAAGAAATGGACGTCTTTGATCATGGAAGAACCTGGGTCTTGGGTCATTTCCAGGCCCAGGAAAGGTGATGGTCTTTTCGAACTTTTGCAGCATGGCCTGGTGGAGTCGATTCGAGATGCACTTGGAGTCAAGGCCACCAGCACTTTGCATGGTCGTGCAAATCCTTTACTGAGATATGTTCAATTTGCCAAGAAGAACGATGTGCCGCCTTTTCCCATGAAAGAGAGCATTGCTTATGCATTTCTGAAAGAGACGGACACTGCACCGACTTTTCCAAGGTCTTTTATCACGTCAGTGGCATTTGCAAAGCATGTTTTGGGGCTTCTGCATGCTGACGAAGTTTTGGATTCCAGTCGCATCAAAGGACATGCGGCTATCCATTTCGCAAAGAAGCGCAAGCTGGTGCAAAGGCCAGCGCTGACTGTGGACCAAATTAAAAGCCTTGAAAACTGTGTCAAGGACGAGGGGCGGACGATGTATGACCGCATAGCCTCTGGTTTCTTTTTACTTTTGGTCTATGGTCGCTTGCGTTTTTCAGATGGGCAATCCATCACCTCCATGGAGCTCGAGATACCGACGGGTGCCGACAGAGGATACCTTGAATGTGCGGCTGAGAGGTGCAAAACCTCCACATCCCTGGAAAAGAGGACGAGGCTTTTACCGGTGGTGGTGCCCACCTTGAGCTTCACCGAGGAAGGATGGATTGAGCAATGGATCAGGTGCAGGGAGCAGCAAGGGCTCGTGCCGGGCTCAGGGAAGCCTATGTTGCCGACGCCTGCAGCGGGCGGAGGATGGACGAAGATCCCAGTCTCCTGTGAGGTGGCAGGTGATTGGCTCCGAGCTTTGTTGAAGGACGTCCCTGCAAAGACGACTGCAGTCAGAATAGCTACACACTCATGCAAGTCGGCGGTTTTGTCGATGTGCGCAAAGTATGGCATGGAGCCGTCTGCACGTCGCTTGCTGGGATACCATTCAGCGGGCAAAGACAAGAGCATGCTGACTTACAGCAGGGATGCTATGTCGTGGCCCATCAGGTTGATGGAAGAGATGATTCAGCAAATCAATGCAGACAATTTTGTGCCGGACGCTTCCCGAAGCGGCTACTTTCCAGCTGGAAACCCTACCTCATATGATGGCAAAGACGTTGAATCCACCTCATCGTCATGCGACTCAATGGACGAGGAGGTCTTCAGTCACTCTGCTGATGAGCAGGCGGTGGAAGAGGTGGCTGGCACTTGGGGTGGCGATATGAGTTCAGAGGATGCCCTCTTTTTCAGGCACAAGATTTCGCGTTGCTTGCACAAGACTGCCGATGAAACTGGGTTGTTGTTCCGGTGTGGACGCA